AGCGCCACTATTTTTGTTCTTGTGTCGACTAACTCAGCTCTAATTCCAACCTTTGGAATTAAGTCAACGTAATACGAAAATTTCAGAAACGAAACCTGACTTGTACTGACTAAAACGTAAAGTTATTAATCGATGATCTATCAAGCGAAGATCTTACTTATTGAAGGTGATCAATTTTGAATACTTGTGTATTGTGGCGTGCTTGAAGAGTAAATGAGAAAACCAGATTAAGTTTACCCTCCTTAGCCATTTCCTGCCCAAATATTTATACTAGGATGTGAAGCTTTACGCTAGGCTACAACAACACTCTGTGCAGATCGTATAATAGCCTCCTTCAGGCATTCAGTTAGTTGGTGCGCAGAGCGAAAAACGGCCGCGCTTCTTCCCTATTTTTTCTCTCGCTGTTTTTCGCGCTGCGCCCCAACTAACTGAACGCCTGGAAGTGGCCAATCGTATAATAAAAGTTTGCTCTGTAACTCATTGAAAAAGTTAAGGCGCAGTAACACTATGCTATCTTGTAGCACTGATTGCCTTGTAATTTTGTTGCGACACAAATTGCACGCAACATTAATGGCTGGCGTAACTTCCGGCCTGAGACATGTTTCCATCTCAGTGGGTGTTACACTAATTTGTCTCGCGCACGAAAATATTTTGAGACAAGCCGCATGAATCATGTAACATCGCCTTAAGCCGTTTCTGGTGTTTTTTCTGTGATGTTTATAGACGAATCTTTGCTGACGTCATTGTTTACATTTTTCCTCATTAGCATACGACTTGACTCATAGAAGCCGTGGCCGCATATATGAACTAAATGCAAAAGTTAAAAAAGTTCATGAAGTTGAGCAATTTGTGCAATTTTCAGCTCTTTGCAAGCAATATTGAAGGAAATATCAGCTATCAAAAATTGCGAAATTGCTGTGTGGCAAAAAAGTTAATGAGCCATACATTTCTCTGTAAAATTTCGAGTTTTTAGAAGAGAATTTCTCCGAAACCATTCCGTGTATTGGGCTCAAATTTTCAGAGATAACTGAAACTGTTATGCCCTATAGTCAGAGTTTTTCTTTTATTAGCGTCATCAGATAGCGATAAGCATATGTTAATAAGGCAAAAAGTGTAAACAAAGATTCGCCTATAAGCCATTCATGAAAGTTATTAACCTTAGAAAATTATCATTTTCTACCTCGCTGATTTCAGTTTATTGAAGGAAAAATGGAAAAGAGCCTCATGATTTTCTAAACAAGAATACGGTTACTTCGACGCAAAGTGAAAGACTACTTGTGACAAGGCTGTCAACGTAACTCATACTTTGTACGCTTTCATAACTCCCTTTGTCGACTGCTACTGAATCTAATACAGTGGGAGTTGTGTGTTTTCAAGGCTGGCGCTTTCCCTCAGTTTGACGGATAGCAATAGTATTGCTGTGTCCAGTCATCTTGACTATTGCTCAAGGATAGCTGGAAACACAAGTAACCAATAAGTCGCCGTATTGCGCCGTATTACCCTTGTACGATGTACACTGAATTCGCAAATTTACATGAATTCAAAGGAAACTGGAGACGAAGTGATACTAAAACACCGATGAAATATGAACAAAAAGAAACACATGGCTACAACCGGAGAGACCACTGCGGAACGAAGGCTTAATTAATTAGTGACTCGTGATCTGTTCAAGTGAATTTGAATTAGGAAGCATCTGCCGTTTAACTGTTATTTTGTGGCCGGCTAATTAAACTTGTATTTGCCTGAGGGCGCGTGCCGATACAAGTACGTGCCTTATTAGCTGGCGGTTTATTAACATTCTTGCTAAAATTTTGTCTACCGGTTGTTTTAAAACAGTTTTTTTTTCCGGCACAAGTAAAATGGATCACATATGTTGACATTTATTAAAAGAAAAATGTAAAAAGACAAAGTTTGAGGAATTACTCCTCCATAGTAAGCAGTAACCTTAATTTTACAGAAAGCAAAGTCGATTGGCAGGTTTATAATAGTTGTAAATAGTCTCGTGTCACCATATGTATGAAATATTTGACCTGAGTGTTTCATAACATTTGCCTTTAGCAACTGTGAATAATCTAAAACAATCCCCTTGCCAGAAGCAAGGGATTTCAGTTAAGAGTTCTTAAGTCAAGTAAGAAGCCTAAAAGAAGTTAACATTTACCTTGAAGTTTGTCGTAACTTGCAGCGCAAATCTTGCTTGTCAAGCCGGTTGGCACGATCACTTCTGAAAGCAGCCAGCCTTAACAGACTTAACATGACCGGACTTCGTGGGTCACTATATTTAATTGAAATCCACCAACGCGAAAACGTATGGTTATTGCTTTCATTGTTTTATCGACTAATTGAAGACTGGGTGGAGCTGGTAAGAATACATGGGTAGCGGCAATTTTTCGAGGACTTTCGAGGAGACCAAAAATTACACACTGCAATTTAAGCGAATTTAAATTTTAAGATGGACAAAATTTGAACATGCGTTCAATATACACGTACGGGAACAGTAAAGTAGTGGAATAAGAAGCTTTGGTGGATGTTTTATCTTACCATATTGGGCCTTATTATTGGTTTTTTTTTTCTTTCGCAATCTTACTCAATTTTCCGTCCGAACCTCAACAGGACGGCTGCACCCGGGCAATATATACACATGTAAAAATAAACTGCTTCTTTTATATTGATTTATTTTGTTAACACATAGCCTCTTACGGAAACTTAAAATAAATAAATAAATTCCAAATTCTGTTAATAGCTACGACCCTGAACTGTGCTTAAATATCCTTGCCGCTTTCGCTTATCACCTTCTGTAGGTCCTTTCTCTGCCATGAAAACTCGGTTTTGAGATCCTCGTTCAGTAAATTTAATGGGATTTTTAACATGGCGAGACTGGTTTAGTATGTCGTGACTAGTTTTCCGTTTTACTGGTCGAAATACAAACAAGCTAAGAGATCAGGAAATCATACTTGAAGCAGGAATGTTGCGTGTTCATTTTATTCGGTTTTTACCGCATGTACAATACACCCACTGACCAATGAATATCAAAAGATAGGCTGAACGACGGCAGACGAGATGCTATGACCTGCATTGATCACAAGACAATTCAGTCCGAACACACAAAAATAATGATTAAACTGGGGGCCGTGATTAATAGCCTCCTTGGACACATGAGCTACTAGCTACTCGTCTTAAGGAAAATATACAGAACCGATTCTGTGAAATATTTGGTGCTGAAACTACTCTTGAAGTGATGAGACAAAACCCGCCTAACTGGCTCGGAGCTAGAAAGAGCGGTGAATTGGAAAAGAGGGTTAAAAAATGTCGTAGTTATAGCTCGGAAATCCAAAGGTTACGAGCTTCGTTTGTGAAAATAGCTTTAATATACTAAATAAATCACAAGTTATATTTTTTTGTGAATAGTCACACTCGATTACTTATATTTCAGGGTACAAAAATGGTCGAAACTATTTAAAAGCCACAGGGCTAATACAACTGCCTCCCCTGTATGTGAAATGTTCGTTCATTACTTTCTATGCCTAATTAATTGCCCAATTCCTTATTATTCCAAGGTTATT